TCATAAATTACAATGAAGCATTTCCATAATTACTGTTACATAAAGGAGTGGGTGACGACGGCAGGGAGGGAGTGTGTGAAACGTTGACAGCATGGTGTGTTTTGAAGGAGATTTGCGATGATTTGTGACGGTGACCACCAAAACTGCACATGTGTGATTTATGGGTAAATCAGACCCAGATGATGTGGTTGAATCTGTTTTTACTCATCACCACTGTGGTTCTGTGACAGTGTTTTTAGCCAGACATGAACCACAGAGAATTTTAAACTCAACTTAGACCATAAAAATTATTACATAACCATTTGTTTCTGTTGTATGTAAAACTAATACTTGTCTCATAAAACTAAAATTATTGACGCTTAAGAAAAACTGAAGACAACATTTTTAAATTATTTGTCTGTAGATTTGATTTTTTAAATTCGTCTTAGAACTTTTTGACCATCTTTAGTTCAGTAAATACCATATACTGCATCAACACTGATCTTCCAGTCTCAACCAGTGACTCTGACGGTGACGATGTTCCAAACTGACCAGGCAGGACCAGCTTGTACTTTGAAGTAATACAGATTTCTAAATATTACATAAAAAACGCGACCTTGAAGTTGAACTGTTGGAGTGAACGGAGGCCGTGGCTTCATTTAAAGTGTAGCTCACGTCAAAGGACTGATCTAGAATGAAAAGTCGCTTTTGGAACCCGAGGTCATCTTATCGTCTCCTGATACCAATCTGATGCCACTGTGTTGAGTATTGAGTTTGAAGCAGAGGTCAAAGAGCGGAGCTTCAGGAGAGACCACAAAGAATAAAGTAAAGATAAAAGTAAAGAAACAGTAAAAACCAACCAAATCAGGATAAATGAAAATATGTTGGAGCTCTGAGTCAGAGCAGCTATCATATCTACACACAGAACATCTGGAACATCTGCCTCTTTACTTTGGTCTGAGGCAGTTATTTAGGAAGTTTGCGGCACCGATGTCAGAGAACATCCGGAACATTCCGGAGCAGAACTGATCCTCACATGCAGTTGGTTAGATTTTTTTTTAAATCCTCTGCTGCGTCATCGTCGTCTTCAAAATGTCGCCCAGAAAGGTGAAAAAATCTGCAGGTTAAAATACGTCTCGTCATTCTGTTATTATTATTTTAGTCGTTGCCCGGTGGAGGAAGGGAGGTCTGTTATTTCAGATGTCTCTCTCTCTCTCTTTCTCCCTCTCAGCTGGTGACTGTGACATATGTCAGTGTCATTCAGACACATCATTAATTCAGTGTTTTGTCTTAGCAGGCAGTGTCAGCCCTTAGGTTTATAAAGAGTGTCTGTTGCTTCTTTCTCGTCAGAGAGACTTTAAAAAAAATGGAACCCATAATATTTTCAACCTGTTAAGTCACAGGGTATCATTGAATAACTCGCCATTAAGCATAATTAATTATGATTAATTGTGACAAGTTCTTCATGGGTTGACTCTAGCTCCCCTGGTGGCCTTAAAAAGGTTAACACTGTATAAAATAAATAAACTAATTGTTCATTTAAGATCTTTCACCTGATCTTTGATCTAGTTTTTAATGATCTATTTTCCCACGATGCATTGCTCTCAGTACATGCCAAACCAACACAGTAAATCCAAATTCATTTTTGGATGCTTCCTGACAGTGCATGGCAGTGCCACCTGGTGACACCACGTTGAATGGAGCCATAATAATAAATAAATAAACAACAAGAGCCTGGAGTTCAAACTCACACTGATGCAACCTGATACCAATCTGATGCCACTGTGTTGAGTATTGAGTTTGAAGCAGAGGTCAAAGAGCGGAGCTTCAGGAGAGACCACAAAGAATAAAGTAAAGATAAAAGTAAAGAAACAGTAAAAACCAACCAAATCAGGATAAATGAAAATATGTTGGAGCTCTGAGTCAGAGCAGCTATCATATCTACACACAGAACATCTGGAACATCTCCCTCTTTGCTTTGGTCTGAGGCAGTTATTTAGGAAGTTTGCGGCACCGATGTCAGAGAACATCCGGAACATTCCGGAGCAGAACTGATCCTCACATGCAGTTGGTTAGATTTTTTTTTAAATCCTCTGCTGCGTCATCGTCGTCTTCAAAATGTCGCCCAGAAAGGTGAAAAAATCTGCAGGTTAAAATACGTCTCGTCATTCTGTTATTATTATTTTAGTCGTTGCCCGGTGGAGGAAGGGAGGTCTGTTATTTCAGATGTCTCTCTCTCTCTCTTTCTCCCTCTCAGCTGGTGACTGTGACATATGTCAGTGTCATTCAGACACATCATTAATTCAGTGTTTTGTCTTAGCAGGCAGTGTCAGCCCTTAGGTTTATAAAGAGTGTCTGTTGCTTCTTTCTCGTCAGAGAGACTTAAAAAAAAAATGGAACCCATAATATTTTCAACCTGTTAAGTCACAGGGTATCATTGAATAACTCGCCATTAAGCATAATTAATTATGATTAATTGTGACAAGTTCTTCATGGGTTGACTCTAGCTCCCCTGGTGGCCTTAAAAAGGTTAACACTGTATAAAATAAATAAACTAATTGTTCATTTAAGATCTTTCACCTGATCTTTGATCTAGTTTTTAATGATCTATTTTCCCACGATGCATTGCTCTCAGTACATGCCAAACCAACACAGTAAATCCAAATTCATTTTTGGATGCTTCCTGACAGTGCATGGCAGTGCCACCTGGTGACACCACGTTGAATGGAGCCATAATAATAAATAAATAAACAACAAGAGCCTGGAGTTCAAACTCACACTGATGCAAACACTCATCTGCATTAATGCCCCCCTCCCTCCCACCCCGCCACCCCACACACACACTGGGTTGACTACATTTTCGGGCTCTTTATTTAAAGCCATCAGGCTAATTAGTGTGCACACACTCCCAATACTGAGAGGTTCCTACAATGTTTGGACAATTATAAATACATAAAGCGCCATCTGCTCCACACTGCCAGGCTCCGAGCAGCAGCAGCTGAGATGAAGCAAAAATTTTGCCAACTACCTACTTAGATTTGAGTTATCGACGTATCAATTTATCGGCGTCTGCCAGGAAAAAGGAGACATTCAGTGTTAAAAAAAATGACGTCCCTCTGAGGTCAGGACAGCTGAAATCTAAAGGAGTGGCACTTCTCACAGATCCATTATTTATTCAGACGCCAGCTCCTAATGTTAACCTGTTTGTTATAAGGAGAGAAGGCACTGTAAACACACAGGGCTCTCTGTGCCCTTCATAATAATTTCTCTCATAAATAATAAATTAGCTAGAGAGCTAGAGCACCGAGGCAGAGGACAAGCATTATGGGATGGGAAGAAAGAGAAGGCAAACGTTGATGGAACACAGAGCTTTAATTGTCTGAATATGCAGCGGTGGCTTGGTAGCAGTACGTTATATTTATATTCAACAGTATTTGTCACATTAATGTTGTTTTGTGCCATTTTAAACTGAGAAAATTTAAAAGATAAGAATACAGAAACTACATATAAGTATATTTTCAAGTTCAAGTTAAAATCATGTTAGAAAATGAACAAATGTTACAAATTTTTAGCTTTTAGCTGCTAAAGTTGTCGACCAGGTCAAAAAGTTCTACAAAATGCTGAAACAAAAATCTAATCATCTGTAGAATGGGGATTGAACAAGTCATTTTGATGCTGTAAGGCAAGAGTGTTAACCACTCTCCCAAGGTGTAGTTTGGCCAAGATAATTATTTTCATTAAACATTGCATTTCTGTAACATTAAACTTTGAATAAATCCTGCTACACATGCTGCTGTGTGTTTTCAGATTTATTTTGAAGGTTTCCTGGTGGGCGTGGCTTACTTCCTTTCACTTCCTGTCTTGTAGATTGGCTGCCTCGCCCAGATTGGATTCACCTGTGTCCCCCCCCACCTCCCACTACTTCCAGCTTCTTGACGTGTTTAGTTTAGTTTTTTTCTTCTAGATTCTTGGAAGTTTCTTTGTGATTTGTTTTGGAAAGTTCCAGATAGTTCAGAGTATTTTTGTTACGATTCCAAATAAAATCAGAAACAGCTCCAGATCCAGCAGAGCTCATTTTTAAACGGGCAGCCATGTTTGATTCCATCATCGACTCTCCGGCCTCTGCGTGTGGTGGTGGACGATGACTGTGTTTGTTTCTCACAGTCTATGGACCAGATGCCTTTAAGGCCGACATGATTGATGAGGTTCCGGGCAGATAATGGCTCTAACTGCATCGTTTCTTTCCAAAATGGTTATGAACAGTGAACGCCGAGACATATTCTGCACTGCTGAGACAACAAAGACAACAGGAGCGCCATCTGCTGCTGGGGATGACCAAGGTGTTGACACGGAGTGGACCTGGATCAGAAGACATCTAAGGGTAGGTCCAGGTCTTTTTTTGATTACTGCTGGTTTGTTTCGCAGTGTTGACGTTGTTGTCTTTGTGTTTCCTTTAGCTTTAAATGCTAAACTGTAGCTGTTGTGGTAGAAATTAACCTGCACGTCACCGACGTCACAGACGTCACGGTGACGTGACCTGCTTCCATCAGCCAAGGCTGCTTTTCCATCAGTGTCTTTCTGACTTTTAAACATTTTAGTGAATAAGTAAAACACCTTTGTTACGTCAACATTCCACTCCTTTCGGCAGTGATGCTTAGAAACTCATATAAACTCATAATTCTGGCAGAATGAAGTTGTTGGCATTTGTTTTTAATTTAATCAACTCAGGTGTTTTAAAGATCCACAGAATGAAGAGCTTTAGAGTTTTTTTTTTAATATTCCTGGAGCGGATTTATTAAAGTTTTCTTTTCACAAACAATTTAAAAACATATTAAATTTGTGTTTAAAACTCAACACGGCCCCCGTAGGCAGTTATAAACAGCAGACGTTGGTTTGTGACGCAGCAGTGAGTCTTTAGTCTGATCTGTTTTGTGTCTTCAATGTAAATGTGCTACAAATCCTCATATGTTGTGTTGCTGCTAATTCAAGGTGTGAATGCATTTTTAAATGTGTTGCTGTGTGTGTGTGAAGTCTTAAGTGTTAGTTGATAACACATCAGTTGGTGTAAACTTTGAAACAGTTTTCTCCAACATGACTCGTGTTGCATCTAATATGTGACCCTAAGACGTGGTTGGGTGTTTTTTTTTTTTTTTTTTTTCACTTGACTGAAATTTAGTTTAAAAGATCCACCTTTTGGCTGTTTCTCCAGTTGAAGGACTGTTGAAGGACTCTGGTTTGTTATCAGTACAGTGGATGAGCTGATTTACTGCGGTCTTGATTGTCTTCTTCTTCTTGTAGTGCAGATTTTTTCGCTCTCTCACAGGTTATTGCGGTATATAAAAATGTTTACATTTCCAATAATTACATTATTTATGTGTTAAAATAAGCATTTTATAGCCTAAATTTTTGTTGTGTTGTAAGAAACAACCCGTACGTACGGGTAAACAAGATTTGTGAAAGTTTCATTTCAGACCAAACTCACAAGTACCACAACCGTTCAACACTGGTTTTATTTTGTACTTGACAATCAGCTTGTACACTTTGACCTCTTACTGTTCACCGCTGGATGGTAACTCGACTCCTGCTGTTGGAGAATAACAAGCGTTTACTGTTTCCACAATGATTTTATTTCTTGAGACAGAGCTCCAGGATTGTTTTTTTTCCCCCAGTATACTCTTCAGTACTGCACTTTGGTCAGGCTCTCTACATTACCTCAGTCTTAAAACTAACAAGACGTTTCAGGAGCTTTTAGGAGTGTGGGCTGTTGAGAGGACGTTGACGTTTGTAAAATCAAATTTAAAGTTCGACCTCACTCCTCTTCATCACCATCATCAGCCGCGGTGGACAACGCACTCTTCTTTGGTGTTGGTTTATTCTTGGTTGAAAATGCAGGTGGAAGTTAAATTGGCGTGTTGTTGGAGCAGACGTCAGTCAGCGAGACACCTGGCAGTTCATTAGTCGACCGGCCTCTTTCAGACTGTCTGCATTTGCATGCTCTCCTTTCGACGCGTTGCTCTCACCGCGTTGCTTGCAAATGTTCCGCGCTCGCCCTTCCACACAGGCCTTTAAAACCTGAGTGCACACGTCCTTGTCCGGATGAATAGGAGTTGTAAAGTTTACATGTGAATTTGGATGCAGTCGGTGTCCGAGCTTCCTTTTGAATTAACCTCCCAAAGCCCTGTCGGACCCCCCGGGGGAGGGGGGGTGTCATTAAAATGCATAGTGCGAGGATGGGCATCTCTCAATCCCCCACACAGGAGGAATTTTTTACCATTCCGGTCACGATGCAAACATTTTCTAAAGACACCAAATATGTCAGGCTGAATCCCAGAAGATGAGGTCACTGAGTGTGAGCATCAGCACACAGCTGTGGTACAAAAAATGGCAAATAAAGGAAACACTGGAGCTGTAGCTGTACAGAGAAGAAGAAGAAGAACTTGAAAATGAAGTTGAAAATGAGAAATCTTTGTACAAAAGTGAGTCAGACCTCGGGATCTTGTGGATAAATCTGTGGTGGTTCTGTTGAAGAACAGAGTTTATTGAACACCTAAAGCTACAGGAACAAACAGGATCAGCCTCCATCATGTACTTTATATCACATACAGAGGAGCATTAACAATATTCAGCCTTTAAAAAAAGTACAAAATTGTAAACCGTAGATACAATCCAGAGAGCTTGATCTTATTTTCGGAGCCAGTTCTTAACGCAGCCAATTTCACTTCTTTGTGCTCTCCACATATTTCACAGACTTTTCTCCTATTTCTGGACAAACACTCTGCTTTGCTATAATTATGTAGAGGAAAAAAAAAAGTTACTGCTAAAAAAGGTTCTGCTTAAAAACAGCAACTGAGTGTGTGTGTGTGTGTGTGTGCGTGTAACAAATAGGACAATTGCAGTTTTGTTTTGTCAGGGAAAATGTAATTATTAAGGTTTCCTGGCTGCAGTCTATTTTTGGGAGCTGATGGCTCATTACTGGTTCTGCTGTTCCAGTTCTTATACACAGGACGGTGGAACCACAGAAGATCACTAGATGTGTCATGTGGCTGCTGCGTGTCGGAGCAGATTGGACTTGATGAGCATTGTGTCATATTTATCCATCAGTTTAATGGAGGCGAGGCCAACATGTGGAGCATGAGTAGGGACAGGGTTCTGGGTTAGCTTTAAGAAGCTGTTAGCATAGGGAACGATCATTATACATTTATATGTTACATATTATTTATGTGTTAGCAATTTGGACCTGTTCTTTGGCTAATGTAAATATATATCTATGTATATTAATATAAAATATGTATTTAGATAATTTTGGGTCATTTTCCTGCATATTATTTGGCTACATTTTTTACGTAATAAATAAACGGCAGAAAAAACGTTTTTCTCACTGAAGTGGGATTTCTCTTCTTCAGAGTTAAACCCTGACGTGTGCCATATTCAAGTGTTATTCGAACCTCTGACTTATTTATAGCTCATCCTCTAACCCTACACCTTGTTATTGTAAGCACACTCTCAGACTCTCGCACATTAACTCTGTGATTAAGGTTAAATTAATCCTCAAGTGCTGGGGAGGATTTCTTCTTCTTTTTTTTTTTTTCTTCGTTCCTGCACTGAGCGAATTATCCAGCCAATCCTGACAGATGCCGTGTTGACGAGGCAGCTGCCAGCGCTCAATCCAGAAACTGGGTCAAGTACCATGACATTTGTGACAAGTCCCTGCCAGGAGGGCTATGACACGGTGGCACCGCGGCTCTCTGACATACCTGCAGCGTGTCGCAGGCGTCGGAGAAGACCTCCGGAACCTCACGGATTCTCCCGTGGTGTCCATTTTTTTCGGCGAGCCCATGCCTGCGGACGGCAGAAGGAGGCTCACTCTCATAATTAGGCTCAGTGGCTTCCAAGGGCGTCTAACTTACGCCCGCCGTTTAGGGATGAGGACGACTGCGCCTTCTCCCTCATCCTGGCTGCATTATTAAAGTTGACAGAGCTCGTTGCAGAGTGTCTCAACCATTCTCTTTGTACTCCTTCACCGTAACCTGCTACCCCCAGCACCCGCCCCACCCCTCCCACCGCCCTCCTTGGCATCGCATCACCACATGTGTCCTCTGTGAAATGGAAATGCTGTGCCATTAAAAAAAAAGACCTCAACCTGCTGCACTTATGCTAATGTAGACACAGGGAAATATCACAGAGAACGACTGAAGGAGGCAAAGTTAGAGAAGGGAACAAAAAAATTGTCCGGGTTCGCTCTGAAACTCCAGGAAAGTTTGCAGTCTCTAATTGGAAATGAATGCCGTTGTTACTGGTATTCACACTGAGCAGATTCCTGGGTGGGTTTAAAGTCGACAGCAGAGCAGTGGAGACGACGGAGAGGAGGAAATAAAACACCGCAAACACAGGTCGCAGATAACGAGGCCTCCGTTTGTGAACAGTGTGTGTGTGTCTGTGGTTAACTAGCATGAAGACTGGGCTAACAGTGTGCTATATGATTTGTTATCATTGTACTTTTTTTTTTATGACGTTTGCATTTCCTGTCTGTGAGTGATTTCCTCTTTCCTCCAATGACAAGACGATTAGGTTCATTGTTAACTCTAAGTTGACCATAGGTGTGAATGGTTGTTTGTCTCTGTATGTGATGGACTGGTGAACCGTCCAGGGTGTAACCCAGCCCCTCCCTCACCCTGTGAATATCTTGCAGTTGTTTAAGCTGATATTTACCTGTGATTTCTGTAGTGCTTAAAATGTAGTGTAAAAAAAAAACAAGTCAACCAAAGAAAGAAGTTTTTAAAAAAGTTAATACTCAGCAGGGGTGTCAAACTCATTTTTACTGGGGTCCACATCAGCAATACAGCTACCGCAATATAGCTACCGCGGGCAACACAAAACGGCTTGGCAGGCCGCACTTGGTCCCCGGGCCTTGAGTTTGACACGTATGCTTTAAAGTCAGAACGCCCAAAGTCAAAATCACCCTTTACTTTCTTGTCTAAAAAAAAAATCCTCCTTAAGATATTTAAAAAAGCAGCAGCTCAGCAATAAGAGAAACCTAGCGGTCCTCGTACTAATCAGTTTAGTTGCATTTTGGTGGCGCGGGATCGACCCCAGTGTCAGCGCGCAGAGTGACGGTAATGATAAACCGTAATCAAACCCGGCTCCCAGGAGAGTCCGCTTCATTGCTCACTGCACAAAGTCGAAAACAGGGGAGGAAAATTAAGTGTCCCTGTGATCGGCGCCACAGAATACTGAGTGTGTAGGAAATTAAAAAGCAACGCCGGCTGCACTGGCCGGGGGAAATGCTGCCAAAGCATCAAGTTTTTTGGTTGTGAAAAACGTTGTTAGGTGTTTGTCCGCCTTGTAATTTCCTCTGAACACAGAGGGTATATCTTTATTGGG